CCCACTTTAGGTCATTTTTTTATTACCCATGAAACGTTCCGAGCGCCTGTGGGCCACGACCCCTTTGTCGAACAAACGACCCTGATTAAAGGGCATGTATTTTGTGACGCTACCAATTCGTGTGTAGGTATATACGTCTTCTGGAATTGTGTTACATGAGTTTTTTAATTAGTTCATAAATATTCTTTGATTTTTGCAATACATAACACATATACTCGGGCGATACAATTCGCCCATTGCTACTAACTATTGAATCAGTCTCTTGGACTGTGGACCATTGAACCATTATTAACCTATATATATACTCCCATGATATCTTGGACAGTACCTGCGCAGTACCGACCACGATGGACTCCTTCCACCCTGTCCCAGTTAAAGTAAATCCAGATCTACAAAAGGAAAGAGACGCTGCACTTTTTAATCCCGTAGAACTCACTTACTTGAAGGATGGTGGAAAAGACAAGACAGAAAGGCGAAGACGTTGTGGTGATTATAAATGACTTGTGTTTTTTTAGCCTCATAGCTAAATATGATTATAATAAATAGATTGCTCTGTGTTGGAGAAGATGGATTTCTGACTTGTATAATAATACATTATTTTAACTTGCATTTGTATTTAAAATGTAAAATCCATTTTTGACTCCCGTGTGCATTCGCACACAATGTGAGTCTTTGCAGTTAGTGTGTCTGTATGCATGTATGTGTGTGTGTGTGTCCGACTGCTCCACCGATATCTCAAGAACCATATATCTGTTTTTGATGAAACTTGGTGCATAGATGCTCAGATTTGATTAGGTTTTGGTAAAAATCCATGCATATTAATTAACTTAATTTGCACGATATATGTAATTAGTTAATTGTTAGCTGTTCTTTGACTGTTCCACTGATATCTCAATAACTACTCATTGGACTTTGATGAAAATTGGCACATATATGCGCTAAACTCATGCGCAGATTTGATAAGTTTTTAGTGAAATATGTGCATATTAATTATTCTAATTTGCATAATGATTAGTATATTTTCGGCTTTTCCACTGATATCTTAACTACTAATCATCACATTTCATTAAAACTTGGTACATATATGTCTTAGGACACTGCATAGACCTGAATTTTTAGGGTAATATCAGTACATATTAATTATCTAATTTGCATAATTAATTAATTTTCAGCTTTTGATATTTCAAGGAGTAATTATCTTCACATTTCAATGAAACTTGGTACATAGATACTCAAGGACTACCCAGAGGTTGATTGTTTTGGGGTAAATATGTGTGCATATTAATCCCCTAATTTGCATAATTTGTTAATTTTCATCTTTTTCACTCATATCTCAACTGCTAATCATCACATTTCAATGAAACTTGATATACAGATCCTGTAGGGTATGCAGAGACCTGATTAGTTTTTGGCAAATATTTGTGTTTATTAGTCACCTAATTTGCATAATTAGTTATTTTTTGCTATTCCATGACTGTTCCACTGATATATAAATAACCACTCATTGGATTTTGGTGAAACTTAGTACTTAGATGCTCTGAACTAATGTGCAGATTTGATAGTTTTTGGTAAAAATCCATGCATATTAATTACCTAATTTACAAAATGATTAGTCAATTTTTGGCTTTTTCACTGATATCTAAAATACTGATCATATTTCAATAAGACTTGGTACATAAATGCTCTAGGGCAATAGACAATTTTGGGTTAAAATATATTCATATTATTATTCATAATTTTTTGGTTCTAAACATATTTCAATGAAACTTGGTACATGGATGGTCTGTTACATTGCATCCTACATCTGTTCTTATTAATTACCTGATTTGCATAATTAGTTTTCAACTTTTCCATCAATATCTCAAGTACAAGTAATTTTGAATTTTTCTCCAATACTCTCAGCACACAGAAGTTCTTTCTAAGCTTTCTTTGATATTCAATGTCATGTGACTGAGTCTCAACCAATCGCAACATCATAAAATATATGATAATGGTCACTTAAGTAAACATATCGGCCAAGTCAGGTAATTTTACATGTTGCCTCATTGAAGATTATAAATAAATATGGATATATTTTGAAGAATCTAATCCATTTTTTTACATCTTGGACGTACTGAGGCGGGTTACTGATACATTTGAACGTTTTTATGTTGTCATCTTGTTCTTTTAAAGTTGCGAAGTTAAATTTTAGTGCAAAATAAAGTATGGCATCTGTATATCTATCAATGATTCACAATTGTTTAATACACGACTGAATAGAGATCCAATAACAAACTGAACCTTTTTGTATTTCTGTCTTGTGTATTTATGCATTTGTTCAATTTTGCAATTGTCCAAGTGTGTTATCATTCATTTCATTGTGTCTGCTATTGGTAAATAATTTCTCTGGAAATTCTAAATCATATTTTCTTATATGTTATTGTTTTGTTCAGTTGTGGACCAACCAGAGTACTCTTCTCGTTTCAGTGTCAATGCTTATTTGAATATAAAATGTAATCAGCGTCCAAACTGTGTTGGTGTATCATGAAACAGTTATAAATACCAGCATTGTTCTGCGATATATACTGACAGAGACAATGTCGTTGACAATGACTTGCTATTTACAGAATTGTTGGCCATCAATGACCCTGATCTTCAACATAAGGACATATCTTTCATGGCACGGAATGAAAGATACAGTAATGCTGTCAGAAAAGCAGTTATTATAGCAAGAAAAATAAAAGAGCATAGACTGACTAATATGGAAGAAAAACAATTGTACATATCGTAAGTACGTTGTCAGTTGTATGCATTGGTACAGAGTGCAAATGTAATATCATGTAATGTTACAATTATGACTGGTACATGTTTATACATTATATATGCATGTTTATAAATAACCAAATATACATTATTTCAGTGTATTATTTATTACAGTGCTGCTACACAATATGATACCTATGGATTCGGTTTACATTATGGAATGTTTCTACCAGCTTTAAGTGCCCAATGTGACGAGGAACAGAGAAACTACTGGCTCCCGTTAGCAGAGAATTTGAAAATACTTGGAACGTATGCACAGACAGAATTAGGACACGGTAATATATGTGTGACGTGTATACATACACACCTGTTTTACTTCGCGCTCGTGTTTTGAAAACCATATATAAAAGGCGTGTAATTTTACAACATCTACTATGGCAACATGTTTTGTTTCTGTTTATGCATGTAGTTTAAATTCATTTTATGATCACCATCGTAAGAAAAAGTTTCCAGAAAAAAAGCGAGCGAGTGTTGCGCGATGGATAAGCATGGCAGCTTACTCGCTGACAATAATTTTTACAATTTTGTCAATTGATATGTATTACAAAACTCTAATTTCCAGCAAAATGAAATCTATGGTAATGATATACAGTTGCATTGTTTGCA